GGGCTACTCACCTGTCGGCGTTTGACACTGTGTCCCTCCGCAGGTCTGATGGGGGGGGGGCAGGAAGGGGGCGGCGAGGGGACCCTACAGCTGGACGGGGCTCACACGTGACGTCCGAGCGCTGTTGGCTCGGCCAGTCCAGGCTTGTTTCGTTTTTTTTGGTTAAAATAATGCTACGAGGTTATTTTCAGGGCACTCGGGAGATTAAGCTGTAGGAATGTTAAAGTATTTGGAGCATGTTTTGCCTATTTGGGCTGAATATTGGCACCCTGATCTGACCCATTCCCAGCCACTCACCGAGTGTGAGGTCAGCTGCCTTATTTACTGCTGACCCTGAGGGCAGTGTCCATCAGATGTGGTCCAGGGGGCCTATCCCTAACCCCTCTAAGGGCCAGAGAAGCAAGGCTACCTTTTCTTCATCAACCTGTTCACTAACACAGTTTCTGCCCAGTCTCGTGTCAGCTATTTTTGACAGGGGCCACACCTAGGGATAGCTCAGACTGGTGGTGCTGGGGCCACGCTGGGGCGGGGTTGCCAGGGGTAGAGGCCTGCAGTGCTGGTCGTGTACATTGCTGGGTCCAGAAGTGAGATTCTCGGGGCTGGAGCAATAGCACAATGGGGAGGGCTACATGTATGTGGCCTTGTATGTGGCCAACCTGGGTTCGATTCCCAGCATCCCATATGGTCCCCTGAGCACCGCCAGGAGTGATTCCTGAGTGCAGAGCCAGGAGTATCTCCTGTGCATCGCTGGGTGTGATCCAAAAAACAGAAAACAAAAAAAAAAGAATCAGAGATCCTTAAGGTCTTTTTTTTTTGTTAATGTAGGAATACTGCTATTTATTCAGCCATTAGCTTAGCTGATTGAATTGGGCATGAACTCCACCTTACTTTTTTTTTTCATTTTTTATAATTTTATTTATTGAATCACTGTGAGAGCAGTTACAAAGGTTTCAGGTTTAAGTCTCGGTCATTCAGTGAAACACCCGTATGTTCACTAGTGCCCATTTTCCACCACCCAAAACCCCAGTATCTTCTAAGCCTGGGACGTTGCAGCTCTCAGGTAAATCCGGCTTTTTGCTTCTCTGTACCGGACACCCTCTCGGGCTTTCTCCTTCAGTGCACACTCCGAGGGGAACATGTGCTGGCATGCGAATAAACACATGAGTTCAGGTCCCACAGCCCCCTGCTCAGAGGGTCAGTTAGGAATTCCGTGTTCCCGGGAATCAACCTTGGCATCAAGTAGAGCAGCGATTTCCCGTCCCCAAGACGGTTCCGGGACTGGTCACTGTAGCTTGATGGTCACGTCCACGTTTTAGGCACTAGAAGGAGGGAGCCTCACCGTGTACCCCTGTTTTTTTTTTTGCTTTTTGGGTCACATATGTCAATACTCCTGACTGCACTCAGGAATCACACCTGACAGTGCTGGGGTACCATATGGGATGCTGGGAATCGAACCCGGGTCGGCCTCGTGCAAGGCAAACGCCCTACCCACTGTACTGTCGCTCCAGCCCCTGTTATCCCTGCTTTAGCCAGCTCATACCACTCCACCGACACACACTATTTTTTGTTTATTTCCGGGTCACACCTGTGCTCAGGACCAGTATGTGTTGCCAGAATCGCACCATGCACTGCACATGCAAAGCACCTGCAAAGCATCACAGCCCTTTGAATTTCCTCCCCCTGACCAACCTTCTCCCATTTTTTTGTTTTGGTTTTGGGGCCACACCTGTTGGTGCTCGTTCTCCACTCAAAAAAAAAAAAAAAAGAAAATTCCCCAGAAACCAAATACCCTGCATTCTATTTTCTTGCATTAAAATGCTCTTGGTTTACTTTGGGTTCTTGGGTTCGCAATGCAGAATAAGTTTTGGAAGCCCCTCGCCTTCCATGGCTGCTCACAGACAGTGCCCTTGGCTCTTGGCCAGCAGTGCCCATGTGCCACCCAGGCCAGACCCACACTCTCTCTCCCCAAGGTGCCCCCCCCACCCAGCCAGCCGCATTCCTGGGGCAGCTCGGGGGGCCGCAGACTACCCCGAACCAGCACTGGCTAGCGGGCTCTCCCGCTGGAAGAGCACGGGTTGGGTTCACTTGGCACTTGGCCTTCCAGCCTTCCATGAGGGACCGTTGGCCAAGACACGGGCCTGGGCTTCCTCAGCCGCAGGCCTGGGAGCAGAGATTGACTGAGAAACACTGACCCCTAGACCTGTAAGAAACATTAACAGGCTGGCCTCTGGGAATGTGTGCTTAGATGTGGCCCAGATTAGGGACAGTAAAAACCTTTGTTCCTGTAAAGCTGTGACATGGGTCAGGGGGTCACAGGAGGCCGTCCCTGCTGCAGCTGCTTAAAGGTCTCCTGGGCAGCCTCTAAACTAAACCTCCAAATGGTAAATGGTTCTCTCCCCCCTCCCTCCCGCTCTTGCTCTCTCTCTCCCCCCTCTCGCTCCCTCTCTTTCTCCCTCTTCCTCCTCCTCTCTCTTCCTCCCTTCCTCTCTCTCCCTCTCCCTCTCTCCCTCTCTCCTCTTCCTCTCTCTCTGTCTCCTTCTCCTTCTCTCCCTCCTTCCCTTTTTATCTCCTTTCCCTCTCTGTCTCTCTCTCCCCCTCTTCCTCCTCCTCTCTGTCCATCTCTATGTCCCTCTCTCTTTCCCTCCCTCCCTCTCTTTCTCTCCCTCCCTTCCCTCCCTTTCTATCTCCTTTTCTCCCTCTCCCTCCCTCTTTCTCTTTCCCTTTTCCTCCTCCTTTTTCTCCCTCTCTCTTCTTCCTTCTCTCTCTCCCTCTCCCTTTCTCTTTCTCTCCCTCTTCCTCCTTCTCCTCTCTCTCCCTCTTCCTTCTCTCTCTCTCTCTTTCTCTCTCTCTCTCTCTTTCTCTCTCTCATGTTCCAGAGACCTTCCCATTTCCTGTGTGTGTGTTGGGGTTGGGGCTGTCCCTTGCCGACTGTGACATTCTTAGATGGATCCTTTCCTGCAGGTCTGACCGTCGGGCCACGGGGCTGCAGAGATCACTCGGGTGTCCATATGCCACAGTTAGGACTGATAGAACATCTTTTTTTAAAAAATTATTTTTTTGTTTTTGGGTGCTCAAGGCTTACTCTCTTGGCTCTGTGCTCAGGGATCCCTCTTGGTGGTCTCAGGGACCAGATTTGGTGGCAGAGATCAAACCTGGTCGGTGGGCCTGAGAATGACAGGGGGCATGGGGTTGTGGGCTCGGACCCTGTCTCTGGGCCATTGTGGGAGCTGCCTGCTGTTCTGGGGTCTCCTTGTGTCCGACGCCCTCAGTCTCCCGGCTCCTGGGTCTCCCGTCCACCCCTGCCCGTGCCAAGTGCGTCTGCAGGTGGGGGGGGGGTGGGGAGCTGGTGGTGAGACCAGGGGTGTGGGTGTGAAGCGTCTAGGAGTGGAGCCAGGAGGGCAGAAGCCTAGTAACACGTCCGCTGGACCCAAGAGCACCGAGTTGGAGGGCTCAGGGGGACCCAGCGTGGGGAGGAGTGCCAGCATCAGGGTTCATTCCCCCAGGTCTCTGAGTGGCGTCCACGCCCGTGGTCACTGTCGCTGGACACAGCTGCCTCTTAGCTCAGCCGGGCAAGCCTAGGTGTCGTGCGGGGCATGATCCTGGTCAGTCACGCACTCTCCTGTGGCCGAGGCAGTTCCAGAAACTTCCAGAAACTTCCCTTCCCTGTAGACACAGGGTCTGGAAGTGGGGGGTCCTCCCACCCCACTTGCCTGTGACCATCTCTCTAGTCACCTGCCTCTTGCATGGGGCACTCATCTGTCCCCTCTCCTGGGAGGTCTGTTTGGGGTTACCCTTTCTCCAGAGACGCTTGTCCCTCTTGTCCCCCGTGCTTCTAGCTCTGGTTCAGCCCCTCTGAGGGCCGTGCACAGACCCCGTGGGGCTGCTGTGGGCACCTCTCCCCCAGCTCCGTGTGCTGCCCTGGGCTTAGGGGTGAGTGTCGCCTCCAGCAGGAGCTGTCATTCTCCTCATCTTACTGCGAGCTCTTCGGCTGGGGTGCGACTCGGTCGTGGAGCGTTACTTGCCCGCATGTGGGATGTCCTGGTCTCAGCCTCTAGCACACCCCACCCCCACCCCCAGAGGGAGAAGAGAGAGAGCTGTCCCCAGGCGGCTGGTGGCCAGGGTGGGCCTTGCTCAGCCTGGACCTTAGCTTGGGGCTGGTGGTTCTCTGGGCGGGGCTGTCCGAGGGATGCTGCCTGTTCAGCACCTGCTCTTCTTCAATGACGGCCACTTTCCCGGGGGACACAGACCCTCAGCTGGGGCACCCGGGTTTGGGGGAGTGAGCCAAGTGCCCTTGGTGTCTCAGCAGGACGGGGTCTTGAGCTGACCGGGACCCGGAGAGGGTGTCGGGGGAGGCAGGACCAGTTGGTGCAGAGTCAGTTTCCCCACTGCTGTATGAGGCAGTCGAAAAGTCACGGCGAAGGAGTCTCACGGGCGCCCTCAGAACTGGGGCTTCTTCCCAAACGCCATGTGTTCATTTTGAACCTGATGTGGAATCATTTTCTGCCTGACAGTGTCATTTCTAGTTGAGTAAGCGTAAACACTGGCATTTATCCAGAGCCCACCCGCAGCTGATCCCCATGGGATGTACGTTTGGGAATGAGCTCGGCCTCATGGGCGGCCGTGGTTGTGCCCCGCGGAATAGGTTCCATGCTCCTGCTTGGTTCTACCTTGCTTCTCCCACTTCCGTTTTGGACCAGTTGACTTTTGTCCTCAGCTTTAGCACGTTTTCCACTGCCAAGTGATAGGCATGCATGCACACGCGTGTGCGTGTGCGCGCGCGCGCGCACACACACACACACACACACACACACGAGGCTGTGTAGCCCAGACACTGCTCATCACTGCAGGACTCAGTGGCTTTGTGCACTTGACACGGCCTTGTCTGCCATCTGCTTGTAAATTCTCTGCTTTGCTACCCGCTTTGCTACTCTGCCCTGGCAGAGCCGTGGTGGCAGGGTGCGGGAACCATCGGTGACGCTGCCTGTGCTCTCTCTCTGCAGCGGTGTGCCACCCCCAGTGCAAGCACGGTGACTGCGTCGGCCCCAACAAGTGCAAGTGTCACCCTGGATATGCCGGCAAGACCTGCAGTCAAGGTAGGAAGCTGCGGGGCCCTTGTGTGCCTGGGGTCCCCTTGCCCACTCCCTGTGAGCCCCTTCCTGTGTGGAAGATGAGGCAGGAACCGTTAAATCCTCCAGCCTCCCTTACCCCCCCCCAACATCCTCTCAACACCGTCCCTGTGGTTCCGGAACGGTGGCCCGGACTGGCCAGTGCTCCTCAGGCTAGCTGGCAAGCCCGGTCAGTGGCCGGCGTCCTCTGCCCCCAGTGAGGGCAGACCCCTGTCCTGGTTCTGGTTGGGAAGGAGGGTTCCTCAGAGGTTGATTCCATCCCCTCCTTGCTGCAAACAGTGAATGACACCAGGACCTGGTCAGCTTAGCAAGTTGCTCTTCACTGCACCCAGTTGCTAATAAACACTGGGAGGGGTCTAGGAGGGGGTCTCCAGAGGCTGCCCCATGCCTGTCCTCTGAGCACTGCTGGGGAAGCACAGCGTGTGCACCCTGCTCAGCTGGGCCATATCACTCGCTGTGGCCCCAGACTCCCTGGCGCAGCTTGGGAGGGCAAATAAATCAAAGCGAATCTTCACTTCTCATAGGAGCCCAGCCGTCCCCGTGTGCTCAGGTTCCCAGCGCTGCAGCAGTGGTAGGCGCTGGGCTGTGACCGATGAGAATCTAGTTAAAAAGAAACATCTTCATAGCTGAGATCAACACCAGGAGGATTACTCCATAGCCTAGAGGCCAGCCGGGTATTATAGGGGAAAGGACAGTACAGATAGAAAAGGGAACACCAAATGGAGGGTGTTTGGAGGATCCTCCCAGGAGGGGAGATGCAGGTTGAAAGTAGACTGGACTGAACATGTTTGCCACTCAATGCTTCTTTTGCTGATCACAACACCCAAAAGGAGAGAGAGAACAAAAGGGAATGCCCTGCCACAGTGGCAGGGGGGGATGGGGGGGATGGGGGGGGGAGGGATATTATCCTGGTGGTGGAAAATGGGCACTGGTGGAGGGATGGGTATTTGATCATGGTATGACCGAAATCCAAGCACAAAAATTTGTAAATCTACAACTGTACCTCATGGTGGTTCACTAATAATAATAAATAATAATAATAATAATAATAATAATAAAAAGAAACATCTTCTTGGGGCTGGAGTCATAGCACAGTGGGTAGGGCGTTTGCCTTGTACGCAGCCGACCCGGGTTTGATTCTCAGCATCCCCTATGGTCCCCCGAGCACCGCCAGGAGTGATTCCTGAGTGCATGAGCCAGGAATAACCCCTGTGCATTGCTGGGTGTGACCCAAAAAAGAAAAAAAAAAGAAAAGAAAAAGAAAGAAATCACCTTCTCATTTCATTTGTCCTTTGGAGAGGCCTCAGGGATATTTTGTTCAGTCACCAAATTTATTGGGAAAGGTCCAACTTTCTGGGAAAAGAAGCAGAAGCAGAGAAAGGCTAGGGAAGATCCCCAGGATGGGGACAGATGCGTGCCTTCTCTTCATCTGGTCTTGGCTTCTGGGTCACCCCAGTGGCGCTCAGTGGTTACTCCGGGCTTTCCACTGCCTGTGGATTGCTTCGTCCCAGTGCTCCCGGGCCTGTAGACCGTGCCGGGGGCTGAGTTGGGCCAGGCAGGGCTGGGTCAGTGCTACTGTGGCCTTGGCTTCTGGAAAAGCAACTGAGCCACATCGGCTGCTACAGCCCAGCGTGGCTCCTGCCCTGCCCGGGCTCGGACTTGCTTCTCTCTGGGGCAAATCCCAGGCAGGACTCCCGGGGGCAAGGGGCAGCCGCAGGTCTCAGCAGGGGACGCTGAGGGGGTCTCTGAACAGCACTCAGACACCCGGGTGTGACCTCAGAGGCAGGAGTTCCCTTCGTGGGGAGTGGAAGCGTCTGGGCACAGGGTGTAGATGCCTGAGTGACTCTGGCCTGTGGCTTTTGCCCATCCCGGGTCTTTCTGCTTGTCCCAGGCTGCTCCTGCGGCCACTCCCATCCTGCGTTCCGAGGTTGGGTCACCCGCACTCAGCCTCAGCCCCCGAGTATCACTTGCAGTACAGGAGCCTGAGAGGGGGAGCGGCAGGTCACTGGTCACTGCTCTGCCATCTCGTCCGTGGTCTCGTTGCCGGATTCTGATCCCAGGATGGACGTGCTGAGGATACGGGAGCAGGGGGACACGCTGCACGAGGTTTATTGTCTCTGAGACTTCAGGAACCCAAGGGGCGGGGCCAAGCCCCCCATGAAGGACCCCTGCCCCCACCCCCCCCCAACAAGGCAGATCGACTGAAGCAGTATTGGTATCATCTGTTTTGAGTTTACTTTCGTCTGCCAATGGCTAAAGTTGTGCTTTTAGAAAATGAATCTCTTGGGGCGGGGAGGATGTTTGCCTTGCATGCGGCCGACCTGGGTTTGATTCCCAGCATCCCATATGGTCCCCTGAGCACCGCCAGGAGTAATTCCTGAGTGCAGACCCAGGAGTAACCTCTGTGCATTGCCGGGTGTGACCCCCCCCAAAAAAAAATAATCCTCTTGCTTGCTGTTGCTTAATCGGAATGATGCCGATTGGTCGTTAGGGGCTGCAGTGTGTGTGTGTGTGTGTGTGTGTGTGTGTGTGTGTGTTTGTGTGAGGGGAGTGAGTGACTGAGTGCAAGGATGATGCAGCTTGGAGACATCAGTGAGAAGAGCCAGAGGAAGGTTGTTCGGTCTCTGAGGTGTGTTGCTGAGCACCCCTGACTCCGTGCCGCTGTTTGACTGTGGATTTACAAAGACTGTTAGGGCTGAAGCTGGCCCAGGCCCGCGCTGACCCTTGTCGCCTTCCTCCTGGGGTGAAGATGAGCGCTTGTTCCCAACTCCTCTTGACCAAGTCCGCGAGCAGCCTCCCTACCAACCCCCGGATCTTCAGGCCACCAGTGTACCGGAAAGGGGTGAGCGAGTGGCCCTCCGGCGGCCTTGCCCGTGCCCTGCCCCGCACGGCTTGCTGCAGGCATGCGGCCGCTCCTCCAGCTGCTGAGGGCCCAGCTGGTGGCACTGCCCTGCCCGGCCTGAGCCCACTCGCACTGTCTGCAGCTCACTGTCTCCACAGCCCCACTGCCGCTTTGCCCTCTCTTCGCCGAGAACCAGTGGCACCTTCCCCCAGCCTCCTCAGCTCGGCTAAGTCGTAGCACTCCCGGAGCAACTGGGGGTAAAGGGGTGAAATGTGGTTTGCGAGGGAGAGATGGAGGTGACCAAGCTTCTTCCTGCCGTATCTGGGGTCGAGAGTCCTAGCGCCCCTGAAAGCAGGCTGGACATCCAGCCCTGCTCTGGGCGTCTGCCTTGTTTGATTAGAAGGCGGGCATATGGGCACCCTGCTTCCGGGACGGCCCTGGCGGGGCTGCAGCCCAAGAGGGACCTTCCCTGTGCCCAGCCTCTAGTGCTTGGTCAAGAGCTGCCGGGGAGGCCAGCGCCCTCCTGGTCCATAGCCCCTGGCTGGAGCCTGTGCAGAGCCTGTTGTACAAACTTCGAGTGGCCCTTGATGGTAATGGGACTATAAAGGTCCCTTGCCAGGGCTTGATCTGACACGTTACTCACCCCGGGAAGGCAGGTGTCTGTCCCAATTATTTCTTTGAGTCACCAGCCTGCAGTCCTGTGACGCAAGAGCAACCTCAGTGTCTCTGCTTCTCCCGCGCAGAGCTGTGGCAGGGGGGTTGATGTCAGCATACCCTGTAAGTCAGAGTCGAGTGGCAGCCGTTGAGACGGTGTCCCCATTAGCCTCTGACCTCCCCGAGAGGCCTGGGATGGGAGTGTTGGACTCCAGGGCTGCTGTGAGGTTGGAGCCTCACAGGGGGAAAGAAGTTCACGTGTGGCAGGGAAGCAAAGATTGTTTTCCTTAAGAGTTCATCGGGGGGAAGATTGTTTTCCTTAAGAATTCATCGGGGGGCTGGAGCGATAGCACAGCGGGCAGGGCGATTGCCTTGCATGTGGTGGACCCGGTTTGATTCCTGGCATCCCCTAGGGTCCCCCAAGCACTGCCAGGAGTAATTCCTGAGTGCAGAGCCAGGAATAACCCCTATGCATTGCTGCGTGTGACCCAAAAAGCAAGAAAAAAAAAATGAGTCTGTTGGGGTGGGCCTGGGGTTAGCGTCAGAAGGTGGGAGTACGTGTGTGGCACACTGGAATCCGGGTTCAGTCCCCAGCACTCCTGGGTCTGAGTACTGAAATGTCTGGATCGAGCAGGTTGGTATCCCGGGAATGACCATGGGCTCCGCCAGCCCTCTCCAGCAAAACCGGACAAAAGGGGGAGATCCACTGGCCTATTTCACCCTCTCCTCAGGCTTCTCAGGCTGTTCCTCCATGTTTGCATGTTCATGCAGGTTCTGGTCCTGTCCTCCTCAAGCGCAGTTCTGACGCTCTGCAGCTCGTCCTTCTGTTTTGGGCCGGCTCCTATCTGCTCCCCACAGTGCTCCGGACTCTCCTCGCAGTGCTCCTGCTGTGTCCGACTCTTTCTGACTGATGCCTGTGTAGAGAATGGGTGTGTCTTAGCCAAAGCCTCTGAACAAAGTGACCACACTGTCAGGTCCTGGTTTAGGGTCCTGAGCGCACACAGCACAAGCCTGAGTGCACACAGCACACAGCACATGCATTCTCCTGAGGCTGCATATTGTGCTGTTTGCTTCTGGAGAGAAAGAGGATTGACTTGAAAGCAAAACACTCAAGAATCCTTTCCTAGGTTGTTGTTTTATTTTCCTTTTTTTTCCTTATTACTGATTTGACAACATGCAATTTGAGAGAACACCCATGTGTCTTGGGTCATTCCAGGGGTCATCATAGGAACACACGCTGTATGTTGAAAGTGTCATTCTGGAATTTCTGCAGCACAAGAGTGATTAGGTTAGTCCAAAGGGCTCTGAAGGCAGCGATAGGTCAGTATCAGAATTATGGATATTCATGTAGACTCACAGCCCTGAAGCAGTGGTCACGGCCACTGTGGAGCCCTTGTCCTTCTTTTCTGCCGTGAGTCGCTAGGCCCGGGAGCATGTCTCAGGGTTTCATGCTGGGGAGTCCCAGGAATAGCCACTCAAGGTCGCCCACCATGGGGGACAGGGCCCACGTGTTTGAGCACTTAGGAATCCAGCGGACGAGAGACACTCCCCTTTTGCCCAAGTGTGAGTGCCCCTTGTTTCGCTGTGATTCCCTGCTGTGGAGAGTTGTTTCATTCCTTAATGACCTTTTCCGGTTCCTTCTCTCCACAACCGCCAGCCCTGCAGGGTCACTTCCCAGCATCACTGTTCAGCGTCCGGCTCGGCTCGATTGCATGATCAGCCCACACTAGTCTCACTTAGCCAGCGGCCTGCTGGGACAGTGTCCGTGTCGGCATGGCCCTGGGCACACTGTCCCCAGACTCTGGCGGGAAGGTGCGGGGCCGTGCCAGGTGTGGGAGGTTGAGTCCCTCACTGCTGGAACACTCCAGGCCGGGGTCGAGAGAAGCGGGAGGCGTCTCTGTCTCCTCCTGCGAGTGAAGCTTTGAACAGAGGAGAGAGATAAGGTGTTTGTGGGCACTGTCATCTGGAAAATGTCTTTTTCTGAGGAATTTTTTTGGGGGGTTGGGGGTATGTAGAAATGTGACCCGCTTCCGGATATCCCTGGCTGGGCAGGAGGCAGTGAAGTAGAGAACTAAGGAGAGATGGAGAGAGGATGGAGACCTGGGGCTCACCCCGTGACCTCCTGCTGACAGGGGAGCTAGGTGAGCGCAGAGGTGAGGGTAGGGAGCCTGTGAAGCAGAACGCACCCTGAGAAGCAGTCGGTGGCTTTCAGGAGTCATATAATTTAATGGCTCGGCTAAGTAATCTCTATAGATTTCCAATAAATAAGCTGACCAAATTTAAATTAGATTAGATCTGAGAACAACTTGCAGAGCGGCTCTCTCTGTAGCTCTAATTTGATGCAGCGCCACGGATTAGCGGATAATTAAATTATGTTAATCAGGCGCTTGTGCCGGCAGCTCCAGACACCATAAACGTGGCCGTGTCTCTTCTTAACGACGCCCGTGTGGGGGCCCGGGTGCTCTCTGGCCATTAGCAGTTTGGTCGCTCGAGACACAGCATTCGGCTGGAGTCAGAAAAGCCTCTCAGAACGCGGCCTAATGATTCATTTCACGTGGAGATTTAAACTAATAAACTAAAATACGCAATGGCAACCCACGCGGTGCCTGGGACATGTTCCCGAGCGCCTTTCCCAGGGCTGAGTGAATCAGAGCCCGGCGGACGGCTGCTTTTCCACGTTCCATCTCGTGTCCAGTGCAGACATGGGAGACGGACTTCCTCCCTCGGATGAACAGGATGGACGAGGCCGCAGGGAGCCACTGAGGGCCCAGGCTATGCTCTCCTTGGGAAAGGCCGCAGTGATCAGCGGACAGCCCAGATCCCAGTCAGGGCCCACGTCAGGGGACAGTAGGACAGGAAGGCGCAGGCACCATGAATGGGGTGCCCTGTCCCAGGACCATCCTGTAAAAGTGTGTCCGTGAGGACCCTGTCCCCGTCCTTCCTGGGCAGAGACCACGCGTCCGGTGTTCACCCAGCCCAGCCCCGCGGTGTGGACAGGTCTGTCTGGTGCGTGCTGAGTGGTGGCTCCTCTTCCTTCCTCCTCCTGCCCCCGGGGACGCCCCGGCCCCCGGGGAGATGGCAGGGAGGATGCTCTCGTCATACCCTCCCCCTCCCGACTTCCAGATCTCAACGAGTGTGGGCTGAAGCCGCGACCCTGCAAGCACCGATGCATGAACACCTTCGGCAGCTTCAAGTGCTACTGCCTCAACGGCTACATGCTGATGCCCGACGGCTCCTGCTCGAGTATGGCTGCGTCTCCCCAGGCGCGAGGGTGGGCGGAGAGGCTGCCCCGAGAGACTGTCCAGCATTTCTAAGATGGGCAGTGTCTCCTGGGCACACGGCCAGGTTCCGCATTGCCCCCACGCCCTCCCTCCAGCCGTTCTCTGCCCATGATCAAGCCAAGGTCCCCTGGCGGTGTGCTGCCTGTGGGACAGGAGATTGTCACCCATCTTACGTGGCAGCTCTGGGGTGGGGGGGAGCTGGTGCTGGCAATGCATGTGGCACCAGGCATGGGGCCATCTGGGCATCCTCTGCTCCGGGAGGGCAGTCATGGTGACTCTGCACTCAGCACGTGCAGACCCTGACTGCTGCTGCAGGAGATGGTGTGACCCAGTCCCTGGCCCTTCGGGAAGGAGCGTGAGCCCCACCCCACCCCTGGCTCGAGAGCTGGAGCTCCCGCCGTTCCTTAGGCCGGGCCTGAGGGTCTCTCGGAGTTCTTGCCGGGTGTGTGTCACGGTTCTGGGGATCCCGCAGCCCTCCCCCAAGTCAGACCCGCTCTCCCCAGGTGCCCTCTCCTGTTCCATGGCCAACTGCCAGTACGGCTGCGATGTGGTCAAGGGGCAGGTGCGGTGCCAGTGCCCCTCACCCGGCCTGCAGCTGGCGCCCGACGGCAGGACCTGTGTGGGTGAGCCATGGGGGCCAGGGGAGCCTGGGTGGGGCCGCTGGGGATGGGGGGGGGGAACTTCCTCTGGGCGCTGAGCTCCGTGCAGAGCAGATATGACGGGTATGGAGGGCGAGACTTTGATCCTTCCATGCTGATGCTCTGGGGGTGGAGAAAGAACAGCGACCGTAGGCCGAGCACTGTGTGAGGGGTTGACAACTGGAGGTTGAGTCGTCACAGTTCGGGCTGGACTAGTCTGGCGGTGTCTCATGACTTGAAGCGCAGCTCTGGGCCCGGCCTCTTAATTCCATGCACAAGCCTGTGGCCCAATGGTTCCAGAATGTTCCCCTCCTGATGGCGCCTCCTGCCTGTGGCCACTCACCCTGCAGGGTGGGATTTGGGCATGTGGGTGCCGGGCGTCTCCGCTGGATGCGTCCCTCAGTCACCTGCCGTGGTCTCCGCAGACGTGGACGAGTGTGTGACCGGGGCCGCATCCTGCCCGAGGTTCCGGCAGTGCGTGAACACGTTCGGGAGCTACATCTGCAAGTGTCACGAGGGCTTCGACCTCATGTACATCGGGGGCAAATACCAGTGTCATGGTAAGACCCCGCCCCACCCCGGGGCACCTCCCCTGGCACCACAGGCTTGCAGGGAGGGGGGATGGCATCGCTCTCCTCCTCCCCCACCCAGGCAGGGCTCTACTGGCGGCTTGGTGATATCTTTGCTCTGAGATGGTTCCCGCTGTTCATGACACCTCGGATCCCCCTCCTCCTGTGCAGAGAGGAGTGCTTCCAGCCCCTCTGATCCCCCTCCTCTCATGCATAGCCCCTCTGATCCCCCTCCTCCTGTGCAGAAAGGAGTGCTCCCAGACCCTCTGATTCCCTTTCTCCTTCTGTGCTGACATAGACAAATGATCCCAACCCCTCTGATCCTCCTCCCATGCACAGACGAGTGCTCCCAACCCCTCTGATTCCCCCTTCCCGTGCAGACAAAGAGGAGTGCTCCCAGCCCCTCTGATCTCCCTCCTCCCATGCATAGATGAGTGCTCTAGTTCCTCTGATCCCCCTCCTCCTTCTGTGCAGACATAGACGAGTGCTCCCAGGGGCAGCCTCCGTGCAGCAGTTTTGCCTGGTGTCACAACACGCACGGCTCCTACCGGTGCCAGTGTAAGGAAGGCTACAAGGGCGATGGCCGGACCTGCGTGTGTGAGTAGCCGTGTCAGCTTGGGTCCCCAGGGTGCGGGCTGCAGGCGCAGCAAGGCTTTCTAGCCTCAGGCACTTCCCACCCGGCCCCAAATCTCTCCACCATTTCCCTTTAGATGCCAAGAAAAATCCAAGCACAAAAAATTTCTAAGTCTACAACTGTACCTCATGATGTTTCACTAATAAAAATTAAAAAAAAAAAAAGGAAAAAAAAAGAAGTTCCCTCGAGAATCTGCCTTTGATGGTCAGAACAAGCTTTGGGGTCACGTGGGCCAAGCTGAGGGTTTGCACGTGTCCCTTCCGCACCCCCCAAGTCTACTCTGAAAATCCTAGATGCATTTCTGCATTTCTTCTTAGACTTTTTTTTTTTTTAAATAAGGTTTATTTGGAGAAGTGGCTGTGTTAATAAATATACCAGGGGTAACTAACTACCCTTCACAATGAAGGTTCACACACCAGAGCCATCATTTAACATGCATTTCATGCAGAGATTGTTAATTTTTTAAATTTTTGGAGTGAAATATTTACTGAGAATCATGGAGCATAAAATCATAGGGATTAAAGGATTTCTTAAAGGGCCAGGTAGTCATGGAATATATCACTCCTGCCAGATTAAATATTAATTCTCGTGAAGTAATCAAGGAAAAAAAGAGTTTGCAGATGATCTTGGCCACCTCTGAACATTTCTTTTTAACCAGCAGTTGTTATAAACTAGTACGTGGGGTGGGGGAGGAAGACAAGGCGGACTCTGAAACACAAGACGGGATTGGCGTGTGCCAAGCTGTGGGAGTAAAATAGAAAAGTTTTATGCAGTTTAAATCTGATTTTATAACAATGCTGTGCTACCTGGACACTTACCGTAGTAGTCCACACGTTTCTTTTCCTTTTCCTTGTTTGAAAGAGCATCCTTATTTTGAATTTTACTTGGTGGGGGGGGCACACGCCCGACAGTGCTAGAGCTTCCTCCTTGTTCTGCAGTCAGGGACCCCTCCTGGCAGTGCTGGGGGACTTTGTGGCACTGAGGCTTGAACCCTGGTTTGCCACGTGCCAGGCACATACCGCCTGCTGTGCTCCCTCTCTGCAACGGACCCCGGCCCTGCCCAAGAAAGACACAACATGTTTATATTTAAAAATCTGACTGTCTGTTTTCACTTTGTACAGTTTAAAATTTTTCCATATGGTGCATATTCATAACATACATCGTTATGATTTCTGAACCTCCCTCCTTTGGCTGTGTGTATGTGTCTGTCTGCGTGTGTGTCTGTCTGTATATGTCTTTGTGTGTCTCTGTGTATTTCTGTGTGTGTCTATCGCTGTGTGTGTCTCTGTGTGTGTGTCTCTGTGTGTGTTTCTGTGTGTGTCTGTCTGTGTGTGTGTGCCTGTGTGTCTCTGTGTGTGTCTGTGTCTGAGTGTGCGTCTTTCTGTATCTCTGTGTATGTGTTTCTCTGTGTGTTTTTCTCTGTGTGTGTCTGTGTCTGAGTGTGTGTCTTTGTGTATCTCTGTGTGTGTTTCTGTGTGTGTCTGTGTGTGTTTGTGTTATGATCCTGTATTTAATGTGGAAAATTGCACACATCCCAATGGGAATCGGCAGGAGAAAAGTAAGCCCAATTAGATGAGCTACTAAGGTGTGTATGGGAATGTGTGTGTGTGTGTGTGTGTGTGTCGCGTGTGTGCGTGCATCTTTATTCGATGCCTTACTGTCTGTGGCGGGGGGGCTCAGTGCTGATTAAGTCTGTTGACTTTTGCAGATGTCCCGAAGGTCATGGTCGAGCCTCCAGTTCATGTACCCGAGAGCAACGCAAGCATCCCCAGGGAGGACGGGGGGTTCAGTAATCGGATTCCTGATGTGGGGGCCACTCAGGGACCCCCTGAGACACCCTATGTTCCTCCCGTCACCACCAGCAGCCCCACTGCCGCGCCAACCGCCAGACCAACACCAGCGCCAACCCCGTGGCATCCCCCGCCCCCACCCCCCGAACCCAGAACTCCCCCTCCACCCCCACCCCCCACCCCCAGGCCCACAGCCGCATGGACGACGGCGGCCCCTGCCACAACACCTTCCCCATGGGCCACGGTGGACAACAGGATCCAGACAGACCCGCAGAAGCCGCGGGGAGACGTGTTCAGTAAGTGGCTCCTGTGTCCTCCCAAGTGGACATGCAGCTCTGGTCCCTTCAGGTGGCGTCGGCTGTGCCTGAACCTGTCATCAGCCCCTCCCCACTTCCTGCTTGGTCACTGCCCATCTGGGCTCCCATTCGTTCCGTTTGTGTGCCACTCTGGAGTGAATTCCGGGGGCATTGGTCTTGTGTCCTGGAGCAGACTCGGGTTCAGCCCTGGTGCAGGTGGCCAGGTTCCATCGCCCTCCTTCCCCCCTCCTGCCCCCTCCTGTGGCCGAGTACCTGGCCGTTGCATGTATTACATAAGCCACATCTACAGGGGCTGCTTCCAGACACAGCCCCTGCGAATAGAGCTGGGATAAGCAACGGGCACGGATCTCTTCAGATGAGTCTATATTGTTCAGAACCCGGAAGTGGGATAACTGGGCCCCATGGTAATTTGGTCCCAGCTACCACAAGCACCCCCCATGAATGCACGGTGCATGCGCACACACACAGAGAGACACACACAAAGACACACACAGAGACACACAGACACACACGGACACACACAGACATACACACAGATGCACACAGACACACACAGACACGCACACAGACACAGAGACACACAGACACACACGGACATACGCAGACATACACACAGACGCACAGAGACACACACAGACAGGCACACAGACACACACACAGACACAGAGGCACATACAGACACACACAGACAAGCACAGAAATGTACACAGACACAGACACAGAGGCACGTACAGACACACAGAGACACACGGACACACACGGACACACACAGACATACAAACAGATGCACAGAGACACACACAGACAGGCACACAGACACACATACCCACATGCACGCACACACACAAACACACATGCAGGCGCACAAACACAGAGACACACACACAGACATGCACACACAGAGACACACGTGACTCACGTTGCAAAAACGGGCCAGGCAGTGGCGCTGACTCAGAAGACAAACACATAGAGCCAGTCAGGGACCAGAGGTGGGTGGGAGTCCTGATGCGGTTTCCATGGGGCCTTCCTGCTTGGCCTGGGGGTGATGGGGTCTCTTCCTTGGACCCATCGCTCTGAGAGTGGGGCGTGGAGCTCACAGCCTCCTCACTGGCCCTGCAGGAGGGACATGATGTGCCCCTGCCCGGGTGGGAGCCTGGTGCCTTCCTGTTGGCGAGACAAAGTGGGTTCTAGTACTAGCTTTATTTACTATTTATTATTAGCTTTATTATTTCTTCTCCTCCTTTTTATCCTTGTTCTTCTTCTTTTCCTCCTCCTCGTTCTTGTTCTCGTTCTTCTTTCTTCTCTTCCTCCTCCTCCTCCTTCTTCTCCTCTTTTCTTCTTCTCCTTCTCCTTCTCCTTCTCCTTCTCCATCTCCTCCTCCTCCTCCTCCTCCTCCTCCTCCTCCTCCTCCTCCTCCTCCTCCTCTTCCTTGTCCTCCTCCTCCTCCTTCTTTCTATTCTTCCTCCTCCTCCTCCCCCTCCTCCTCCTCCTCCTCTTCCTCCTTTCTAACTTTTCTTTACTCTTTTCCCTTGAGAGTACCCCAGTTCACCTCAGAATCTTGCCTGGATGGTGCCCAAGTGCCAGGTCCCCCTGGATAGGCCTTGAGCCCCAGCCTCCCCAGATGGCCCAGCAGGGACAGATCCCCTCGCTCCTGTTCTGTGAGGACACAGAAGGGCTGTGGGTCCCCGTGGCACAAAGAGTGACCATATTTGCAGGAGATGTCCTGGGCCTCTGTGTGCTGCGGCCACACGGCCCTGTGAAGGGGGCTCTGCAGTGGGGTCCCTTCCTGGCGGGGGGCTGGGCTTTGGGTGGGGGTTCCTCCCTGTAGCTGCCCCTTCGGGAGTGTGGGTTCTCTAGATCACTCTGCCGCCCCCCCCCCCCAACACACAGCTGGGCCCCCGTCTGCAGACAGGAAGCACCCGTGCAGAGTCTGTGCCCAGTGTAACAGCATCTGGCACAGATAAGACCGCTGAGAGCCGCGCTGCCGCGGATCAAAGTGGACAGGTGTCCTGGCAGCGAGCCGGTGTGGAACTCCCCTCCCAGGGTGAGACGCAGGCCCTGTTTCCGCTGGCCTCGGGCACCCCGCTCTTGCCTCCCCGCCTGGCTCTGTGGGGACAGGCAGACTCTGCCAGGAGCCCCGCACTTACACTCGCCCAGGTCTCTCCTTCCCGGGACCCCGCAGGGCATGGTGGGCAGTGCATTCTGCTCACTCCTAACTGTGGGTGTCCTTCAAGTGGATGCGGCTGGTGGGGGACCAGCAGCTCCGGGGGAGACTGAGTCTGCCTGGCTCTGGGGGTGCAGGTTCCCATTCACAGGCCCCACTGAGAGCCTTCCTCGTTCTGGGGCTTCCTCCTTGGTTGCACGTGGGATGCTCAGCCTCACCCCTGCAGCCTCACCCCCTCATGCTTGCAGCCTCACCCCCTCACCCCTGCAACTTCACTCCTGCAGCTTCACCCCTGCAGCCTCATCCCTCACCCCTGCAGCCTTACCTCCTCACTCCTGCAGCCTCACCCCCTCACTTCTGCAGCCTCACCCCCTCACCCCTGCAGCTCCACCTCTGCAGCCTCACCCCTGCAGCCTCACCCCCTCCATCCTGCTGCCCCCTCCTTACCCTCCTGGGAGCCGTGGCACGGGCTGTGCTCTAACCTCACAGATTTATTGTGCATGCTCAGGGCTGCAGCTCAAAGTGATGGCACCCCAGCCAGGCATGAGCCGGGCCCTGGGTCGCTCTCCGGTACATGTGTTCCCTCCATGCTGCCTCAGCAAGCCCCCCACTCCCCACCCCTGTCGCTGTATTCCCCCCCCCCCCCCCCCCCCCACAAGAAGGATGTGGAAGCTCCAGCCTCAGAGGCCAAAGCCCTGACCGAGCCCCACTCTCCTTTACCTCGTCCAGTAAACCTGCAGAGCGGTTGCGGGCAGGTGAGCCCCAGGAAGGCCGGGAGCCGACCAGGCCCCCGGGGTGGGCCCTGCTCCCTGCGCCCAGACTATCAGGCACCAGCTTGCCCCGGCCATCCCAGGGACAAGGGTCAGCATGGGGGCTGGGGGTGCCTGTGGAAAACCATCCTTGGACAGGGCAGAAGCCAAGTAGCTCCACAGTGCCAGCCTACGACCTCACTGGGGTGGACCGAGTGGACAGCGGGCGGCCTCTGAGTGGCCACCAGGGCCCCGTCAGCAGACCCCTCTGTCCTGCAGTTCCCCGGCAGCCGTCCAATGACCTGTTTGAAATCTTTGAAATCGAGAGAGGAATCAGCGCAGACGAGGAGGCCAAGGACGACCCAGGTGGGTGGCATCCCCCACCCCTGCCCTCTGCTTCCTCCCTCTCGCAGCAGCTGTGGAATCTGAGTTGGTTCCATGCTGCTATATAGATAATTTTTTTTTAGCAACTTGGTTTCCGCTCTAATCAAGCCAGTTGACCAAAAATAATTTTTCTGAATCATCATTCCTGGCTTTCAAAACTCACTGAGGCCAGAGCGCAAGGGTTAAAGGTGGCTGTCTGGGGTGTGGCAGACCCCTGGCAGTGTGCAGGGTCCCGGAGCACAGAGCCAGCTGTGACCCCTGAGCACTGCCAGGTGTGCGCCCCACTAACAAAATAATAATAAATGCACCAAAGCAGCATTTGAACCATGTGGAGGAAGCGGAGCTGGGCAAGTGTCAGCCTGGCGGGTCGGCATGGGGCAAGGTCTGTGTGTGCGGCCGCACACGTGGCTGCCAGGCTGGACACGCTTCCCACAGGCCTGTTTCTCTCAGGAGGGGAAAGGCGGGGGACTCAGTGGGGTCACGACGCAGGCACAGAGACCCCCGCCCACTCACCCCACCACCCCTTCCAGGTGTCTTGGTTCACAGCTGTGATTTTGACCATGGGCTCTGCGGCTGGATCCGGGAGAAGGACAGTGACTCCCACTGGGAACTGATGCGAGACCCCGCAGGTAACGAGACGAAGCCTGCTGCGGGACGCTGCCCAATGCAGCTGGCCTGAACTCCTGATGGGCGCCATGGCCCATGGACACCCCCCACCCTCACGTGGTGCCACGTGCTTTCCTAAGACGGGTCAGAAGGGACTGTCAGTGTCTGAGGCCGTGGCTACAGCTGGGCCGCCCTGAGTGGCATCCTGGGAGCCCGGCAGCTCGTTCTAGTTGGCTGGTGTCGGTCCATATGCTGGGCCCAGGCTCGAGGGAGCGATCTGTGTGGGGATTGGGGAGCTTGGACATTCCCAGCATGGCGGAAGCCTTGGGAGCCACAGAATTTCAGTGTAACTGGGGTTGTAGAGAAAGCTAGAGTCCCCACACGGAGCCCATGAGAGAATGTTCCCAGCAGGTGTGCTAAGGCTGTCTGCTGGAGGTGGAGGGCGGGCGCTTGAGGCCCTTCTAGGGTCTGACTTATGGGTTGTTTCAGCCATCTGGCTTCAGGACGTGAAGCTCTGGATTGCTGGGTTTTTGGAGCGAGGCCAGCTTAATGGAAGGACGAGGGGTTTGGTGTCTGGTCTCGCTCGGCACATGGTGTGTCAGGTCAGCTGGGGCTTGGCAGGGAGGCCTGGTCAGGCCTTCTCTGTCTTTGCCATCTGAATCCACTTGTTGTAGAGGAGAGGGTACACACGGCTGTGAGTGTGAGTGTGAGTGTGTACATGTCAGCGTGTGGCTGCAGGTGTGTCCTTTTGCTGTTGTATATGTGTGTGCGTATGAGTGTGTGTATGAATGTGGGCATGTCCGTGTGTGAGTGTGTGTGTGCGTTGAATATATGCGTGCATGCATGTGTGTGTGCATGTGTGTATGAGTGTATGTGCATTCCAGTGTGTGCTTGTGCGTATTTGTGTACATGTGTATATATGATTGTGTGTGCATTCTGATGCGTGCATGTGCCTTCATGCATGTGCATGCTTATGTGTGCATATATGTGCGTGTGTCTGCACACACGCATGTGCACCTGACTCTGTGAATTGGATGAGGACTGAATGTAGATCTCAGGGCAAAGTGGCCGAAGGGGAAGTGTCTGTGCTGCTTGGAGTCAGTGTCCCGACGGCCATGGCTTGCCCCAGGGCCCCTTGGGGGAGGGTGAGCACTGTGGAGGAGTGTGGAAGGGAGTGACCCGGGTCCAGCATATCAGGAATGGAGAATCTGTGCTGCCCAGAGCCGGACTGTGGAGAATCAGCGTCGGGCAGAGAGAGGGCAGCGGGGGAGGAGCTTCCCTGGCACATGAGGCCCCAATTCACTTCCTGACACAGTTTGGGTGTAGGGATGCTGGGTGCAGGATGCTGGGAGCCCAATGCTTAAACAAACAGGGTGTAGGAGCCATGGCCCTGTGTGGGATCACATCACCAATCCTGGGGGTCAGTGAACTTGACCCCAGTGGGAGGTTTAGGAACGTGCCATGACCGAAACTTGACCCCAAATCCAGCGCAAATCTAGCAGCACCCACTGGGCTGAGTTTCTCAGAAAAGGGGAAGGAGGGTTATTGTCTGTGTGGGGGCACACCAGATGGGGCTCAGTGCTCGTTCCTGCCTCTGCCCTCGGGAATCACTCTTGGTGGGCTCAGGGGACCGTATGGGATCCTGGGGACTGACCCCGGGTGTGCTGTGTGCAAGGCCAGTGTCCTCCCACTGCACGGGTCGTCCCCGCCCCCAGCTTGGGCGTTTCTTGTCCAGACCAACAAACACTCTTGTCTATTAGTGCCTCCTAGGAAGCTGGAGGTAAGCCAGCATCAGGGGAGACAGCTGCGAAGCTGGCTCCACTGTCAGTCCCAGGCTTCCTATGGGGCAACAGGAAGGACCCGCTCTGGGCCCTTGGAGCGCTCGACCCGACCCGCTGGGCCTGGCGTTTCCTGGAACCCGAGCCCTGGGCGCCGGGCTCCCAGCTGCTGACTCAGCGCCCTTGCTGACAGCTCCAAGGAACCCCCGGTCTGCCAGCCTGTGCCTACATGTCTGTCTCTGCTGCAGCCAAAGCCCAGCATTGTTTGGGAGAAGCACCTACAGGGAGGAATCAGGGGAGAAGCCCCAGCCCTCCCTCCCCCTGGCAGCCCCTCCTAGCTGATCTTTCCAGAAAATTCTCACCCTCCCACCCGCCCCATTTCTGTACCTGACTTTTGTCAGGGGCTGGAGGCCCAGGTGTGGGAACCAGCATCACCTTTCAGTTTGGATCCTGACCGTCCAGCACACCCTGCCCAGCTCCCATCAGCAGCGTAACTGCACAGGCTAGGGCTCACCCTGGGGTGCTCCTGACCCCAGCTCCAGCTCCGGCACCACATGACCCCTGACTCCCACAGTACCTGGGTCAGGCCCAGGGCAGGCCCAGCAGAACGGCCTCCTCAGACTGACCCAGCAGCGGGGCCCAGACCCACCCTGGGAGCCGGAAACATGACTTTCCCTGCACCTGCCTCCCGAGTGGGCTTCCTCGGGTGGTGGGCTTGTGAGTGCAGGTTTCGGCCAAAGCCCAGCACTCCCACCTCTTCCTGTCAGTATTTGAGAAGCAGTTCCGGGGGGTCAGAGACGTAGCACGGGGGCAGGCGCCTGCTCTGTGTCCAACCCCAGTTCAGTCCCCGGCACCCCCAGGCATGGCCAGCCCCCAGCCCACCAGCAGATCTTATTAATCTGTTATCTGGCTAGGGGAGGTACAGACCCACAGCCCCTTACATGCAGAAGCAGGAGCTGCCAAGGAATCACCCGACTCTGCTGTTTTGTTTCTTTCCCAGTTTGTAGGTTTAAAAAAGCTCCTTGTTTGTCTTTTTCTAGATTGCAGGGCCAGCTCCTGTCATGCTTCTTATTTTTGTGGTTTTTATTTTATTTTATTTTTATCGCTGGAGCGATAGCACAGCGGGTAGGGCGTTTGCCTTGCACGCAGCCAACATGGCCGACCCGAGTTCGATTCCTCCGCCCCTCTCGGAGAGCCCGGCAAGCTACCGAGAGTATTCGATATGCCAGACACAGTAACAACAAAGTCTCCAATGGAGACGTTACTGGGCCCGCTCGAACAAATCGACGATCAACGGGAGGGCCTTTACCTTTACCTTTACCATCCTGAACCCCAAACCCTGCCCCCAAAGCACAACCAAAGTAATTTATTTTATATTGCTTGTTATGAATAATCCGCTAAAAATAATCCCAAAAAGTTGTCTTAGAGGAAAGTGCGTGAAGATTGTTGCATTTCACCCAGGAGCCATTAAGCCCTTCTATAAGAGATTAGTAACATGTCATTAAAGGTTGAGACTTGTGTGCTTACAGATACATAGATAGATAAAGGTAAAGGTAAAGGCCTTCCCGTTGATCATCGATTTGCTCGAGCGGGCCCAGTAACGTCTCCATTGGAGACTTTGTTGTTACTGTGTTTGGCATATCAAATACTCTCGGTAGCTTGCTGGGCTCTCCGAGAGGGGCGGAGGAATCGAACTCGGGTTGGCCATGTTGACTGCGTGCAAGGCAAACGCCCTACCACTGTGCTATCGCTCCTGTATAAATATACTTGTATACTTGCCCCTAAGATTGGTTGCCTTCTACTTTAAACCCCATCAGATGTGGTGTGCTACTCTTGATAGATCAGTGGTGTAAAGTATGAGATGTCACAGCTGTGTGGTTCAGGAATAGGCTCACCCATGGGTGAGGCTTGTCTGAGTGTGTGGAGAGCGGCCATGAGCGTGGTGGCAGTTGAGTTCTGGAGATTTTCAGCTGCCAGGGCTGGCGACATTGGGGCGGGGAGGGGCCTCACCCAGGCCCCTCTGGGTTGCCTCGACTGAGACAGCCTGGTGCGGGGTCTGGAGGCATCTTTATGTGTCTACTTTTTAATTACCAGCTTGTAAGGTCCTTTATGTAAAAGGAAACTTGGTCCTCTTTGCGTGTTGCAGCTCCTTTTTTGCTTGCTATTCAGAAAACAAACCCCAAAGCTGTTTCCTTTTGAGGGTAACTGCCAGCAAGCCCTAAGGATCTAGGCTCCCGCTGGGCCCAAACGTGACAGCCCATCTCTGCCAACTTGAGGGTCACTTCCTCTGACCGTGGGTAGTAGGTAAATTGCTGGCACAGCTATTCTGAAGCTGGAGATGAAAAGGTGCAAACTGGCATTAAAAGAAAACTGGAAACTCATCACCCAACTTCCAGGCAAGTCTGGTGGCAGCTCCCACTATTATTTGTTTTGGGTTTCTTTTTTTTTTTGCTTTTTTGCTTTTGGGTCACACCTGGCAATGCACAGGGGTTACTCCTGGCTCTGCACTCAGGAATTACTCCTGGCAGTGCTCAGGGGACCATATGGGATGCTGGGAATTGAACCCAGGTTGGCCGCGTGCAAGACAAACGCCCTACCCACTGTGCTATCACTCCAGCCCCAAGCTCCCACTATTAATCCCCCAAATAACAGCACCTTATGTCCTGTGGGGTGGGACTGCATCACTGTAAACCAGGCAGACGGGGAGGGGAGCTAATGTAAGTCGTAAGTCGGCGCCGGGGAGCCCAAGCAAAGTTGTGCCCGTCCTGGCGGGTCCTGGCTGGGCTTCTGCCTCCATGTCTGTCCCAGCTCTGTAACGTTTCCCTCAGACTAAAGCCCAAGGCTAACGTCCCCTGGTGCAGACCAACAGGTGAGCGAGTGCCCAGGGACCAGACCCCTGAGCCATGAAGTTGAGGGCTCTGCAGAATGAGGGCTCCGCCCACATTCCACAGGGACTTAGGCTAATCCGTTTGCTCCCAGGCGCAGCAGGTGAACTGTAATAACCACCATCTCAGTCTGAGGCGGAGAATCAGCCGGGGCCCAGTAGCTGACTCGGGGTTGGACATGTAGGACCCCCCAAATATTCAGGCTCAGGGCCCTGGTGACCTCCCCTACCCTCAGTTCTATACCCCCAGCCTCCTTGGGAACCCCTCAGCTCAGACACGGTGCCCTTTGCCCCCACAGGTGCTCAGGAACTGGGCTGGGGATGGCTGGTGGCCTCAGGTGGCCTGTCTGCGGGCCCAGGACAGAGTGGGCTCAGCCATGGCCGCCCAGCTGCACCCCAGTCTCCCCCGGAGTTGGAGCAGATCATCTCTGGGGTCAGTTTCAGAAGCTGCCCAGCACTCACTCCTGTGGGGTGGCACCCACCTCACCCCCACGCCACACTGCGTTTCCCTGGCAGCCGGGCCAGGGGTGTCATGTGGCCTACCCTGCATGGTCGAGATGGGCCTCAGGAAACCACTCGTGTGGCAGCACAGACACGTGTGTGGGGCTCAGGTCATGCTCCTGTGGACATGTGTGGGGCTCAGTTTGCACTCCATGGACACGTGTGTGTGGCTCAGTTCACACTCTGTAGACACATGTGTGTGGCTCAGTTCACACTCATGTAGGCATGTGTGTGTGTGGTTTAGTTCTCACTCTGTGGACACATGTCTGTGGCTCAGTTTGCACTCCGTGGAAACGTGTGTGGCTCAGTTTGCACTCCATGGACACATGTGTGTGGCTCAGTTCACATTCTGTAGACACGTGTGTGGCTCAGTTCACACTCATGTAGGCATGTGTGTGTGTGGTTTAGTTCTCACTCTGTGGACACATGTCTGTGGCTCAGTTTGCACTCCGTGGAAACATGTGTGTGGCTCAGTTTGCACTCCATGGACACGTGCGTGTGGCTCAGTTCACATTCTGTAGACACATGTGTGTGGCTCAGTTCACATTCATGTAGGCATGTGTGTGTGTGGTTTAGTTCTCACTCTGTGGACACATGTCTGTGGCTCAGTTTGCACTCCATGGACACATGTGTGTGGCTCAGTTCACATTCTGTAGACACATGTGTGTGACTCAGTTCACACTCATGTGGGTATGTGTGTGTGTGTGGTTTAGTTCTCACTCTGTGGACACGTGTGTGGCTCAGTTTGTACTCCGTGGACATGTGTGTGTGGCTCAAATCGTGCTCCTGTAGACATATGTGTGTGGCTCAGTTTTCACTCTGTGGGTGTGTGTATGTGTACGTGTGTGTGTGTGTGTCTCAGTTCACACTCCCATGGACATGTGTGTGGTTCAATTTGCATGGCATGGACACATGTATGGCTCATTTCGCACTCCATGAACACACATATGTGCCTCAGTTCACACTCCGTGGACACATGTGTGCTCAGTTCGTGCTCCTGTAGATATGTGTGTGTGGCTCATTTCACACCCTGTGGACATATGTGTTGTGTGGCTCAGTTCACACTCTGAGGACATGTGTGTGGCTCAGTCTGCACTCCCGTGGACGTGTGTGTAGCTCAGTTTGCACCCCATGGACACGTGTGTGGCTGAGTCTGCACTCTGTACACATGTGTGACTCAGTGTGTGGCTCACTCACACTCCGGGGCAGCAGGGGGAGTGGGGGAGCAGCGGGTGCTGGGCTGTGACTCCCTGGTCCTGAGCGAGCTTGGCTGTCTCAGGACTAGGCAGCAAGGGCAGGTACACGGCGGGGCCGGGGCTTAGCTATGCCCCCTCCTTCAGAGGAGAGTGGCCCAGCAGGACCCAGGGTGAGTGGGACCCCAAGCTGTGAGTCACCACATGGCTTGTGTTCTGTCTCTGTGGCCAAACCATACGTCTCTGTAAAGGCTTTGGACTGTCTCGCAGAAAGCTGGCCTGGATTTTAGCCTCAAACATCTGGGTGCCTGGCCCCGGGGAGGCCCCGGTCTGCAGCTGACCGGCACCCTCTCCCTGCAGGGGGCGCAGACACTCGGCCCACAAACACCCGCTTCCCCCCACAGGTGGTCAGTACCTGGCCGTGTCTGCAGCCAAGGGCCCGGGGAGCAGGGCGGCACGCCTGGTGCTCCCACTCGGTCGCCTGCGGCCTGGGGCGGCCCTGTGCCTGTCCTTCCGGCACAGGGTGGCTGGCTCGCCCCCTGGCAGCCTCCAGGTGTTCGTGAGGAAGCACGGGGGCTCCGGAACCTCCGTGTGGGGCCGAGCCGGAGGCCGCGGCTGGAGGCACACACGGGTCACCTTGCGAGGGGCCGACGTCAAGAGTGTAAGTAGAATCCGGTCGGACCGGGGTCCCCGGGGTGGGGGCAAAGGGTCCCCGGGCCTGGGGTTGAACACAGACACTCAGGGCTAGAAGCTAAAAGCGGGTGGGAGCATCACTGCCCCTTTAGTCCCTGTAGTTCACGCTTTTGCCCGTGGAGTACTGTGCACAGGGCATGCTCCTTTGCAGGGGGTGGGGGGGTGTCCTTTTTTTGAAATATCTCTTTAAAGTACCCCCCCCCCTTTATTTTTTCCCTATTGCTTTTGCCTCAGAGATCATAGTCAAACAGTCTTGGGTGACAGTCCCCAAACTCTGGTTGGAAAGGACTTTTTAATTTGGGACAGGATGTGGGCGGGAGCTTTGATTGACACGAAAGTGATCTATGTAGCATTCCACCCAAATCATGTCTCTGGGAAAAGTCTTTTTATTTTGTGTGTGTGTGGGGGGGGGGGCGGGGGCTGGAGCGATTGCACAGCAGGCAGAGCATTTGCCTTGCATGCAGCCAACATGGCCGACCCGAGTTTGATTCCTCTGCCCCTCTAGGAGAGCCTGGCAAGCTACCAAGAGTATCTCGCCCGCATGGCAAAGCCTGGCAAGCTCCCCGTGGCGTATTCAATATGCCAAACACAGTAACAACAAGTCTCATGATGGAGACGTTACTGGGCCCGCTCGAGAAAATCGATGAATAACGGGAGGACAGTGACAGTGACTCTGTGTGTGTGTGGCGGTGGGGGGGGGGGGGGCACTCCTGGCTGTGCTTTCGGCTTCCTCAATGTGTGTGGAGGGTCTCTGCTGGCTGGAGTGTGGGGATCCTGTGGGGTGCGGGGGATCACTGGGCTGGGCTATGAGCAAGGCAGGTACCTTGTCACTGGACTGTCTCCCGGGCTCGGGAGAGCGTGTCTAAGCCCATCTGAGGACAGTCTCTGCTGGCACACTGCCCACAGGCCCACACGCGAAGTCCCTGGGCGAAGTCCCTGGACCCCACTTCCTGGAACAGACTCACACCCTTTCATCAGTGCCCTGGGCTCTGTTTGATCCAGATATTTTCCCCTCAAAATTGCTCTTTATGTCTGTTGGAAACCAAGGCGAGATAATAAAGTAGCTCAGGTCAGAGCCGAGGAGTTTCTCCCGGCTTCCTGAACGACCCAGCCTGGGCGCTGCCCACTTAGACCCGACCTGTCTCCTTGCTCCCCCAGCGTGTTCCCACCACCCTGTCCCTCCCTCGTGCCGACTCTCCCAGGCCTGCCTTGCCCCCGGGCCTCCCCACGAGGTGCTCAGGGAGCACTGTGTGACTCCTCACGCTTGCTGGTGGAGCTATGCGTGCTGCGGCCCTATCATTTGCGTGGCTGTGGGTGGGCTGTGTGGTCATCAGCATGTCCAGCCCTGGCTCCTGGGGAAGCCCCATAGCTGCTGTGGGCCATGGCAGGGGTTCCAGGGACCGACCCTCCGCCTTCTCTCCCCAGGTCATCTTCAGAGGCGAGAGGAGGCGCGGCCACGCCGGGGAGGTGGCCCTGGATGACGTGGCCCTCAGCAGGGGCCCCTGCGCCGAGGCCCGAGGGCGGCATCACATGTAGCCGGATGCCCTGTGGCCCTTCCTCTCCCCGCCTTTGCACCCAGCCCCAAGCGGGCCTGAAGGGGCCGGGCAAGGAGGGGGGAGGCTGGGCGGTACCCCCAGATTGGCTTCTGTGCAAACCCCACACCACCCAGGACCCCAGCCCAGCCCGGGGGCCACCGTCCCCACACCCGCAGGCCGGGGGGACCTGCCTCAGGGCCCCGGGCCTCCCTTGCCCCTGTTCCCAGCTGCCCTTCACAGCGGGTGATGAGAAGTATCACCCCTGCCCACCATGGCCAGGACTGTCCTGCTTCACCTCCGAGGTAGGGGCAGGTGTGGCAATCGCCTGCTTGTCCACCCCTGTCCCTGCCGCACCCTGCAGCACCCCTTCCCTTGCCTGTCCCTGGGCTTCCACTCAGGGTCCAGGCAGGAGCACCTCCAGGAGCCCAAGTGACGGTGTCGGCCACGAGCCCTGTGGGTTTCCCAGTTGTGGGGGGAGGGGGACGTGATCTGGGGAACAGCTGCTGGGTCCCACTGGATGTAGCTGGGGTGTGGGTGGTGGCAGGGGGGAGTGAGAAAGGGGACCCAGGCGGGGATGGGGGCTCAGGAAAGGGGTGGGGGTGCAGGGCAGGCTGTGTATTGCTCCGGTGCCTCCCCATGGCTTGGTGCTCTGTCAGTGGGTGGGGACTTTGGAAGGGTGAGAGCAGGCAGGGCCGGGCCCCCGACACTGCCCCCCGCCCCCGGGAAAGGGCCCCTCCCCCAGCAGCTGGGCTCTGCTTTTCCCACCTGTGTCTGCTGGGAATCCCTAGGATGGGCCAAGACTTGGGGAAAAGAGGAGGAACTGGGCTGGTCATGTCCCCGGACGAGGTGTCTGGAGGGCCGTGGTGGGAAGTGGGGGGCCCGCACCCACGCCTTGGACCTGGGGCTGGTGCGGGTCCCAGAGGGACAGCCGGCAGAGCCCTTGTACAGAGCGGGGCTCTCTCCTGCGCCTCCCCCCTTGCTCCTTTCCAAAACATCAGTTATAGCTGCCCCCTCAAGGAAGGCGGGTGTATGCAGGGTCTCCCCAAGGAAGTCCTGATCCCATGGACCCCATCGTGAAAGCCTAGAACATGACCATGTGGGCCTGTCCAAGGGGAGAGACCCCCCGAGGGCTGAGCCCCCAGCAACGTGGCCCCTGAGGGGGGGTTGTGGGGGGGTCTGGGGGCCTCTCCATGGGCAGAGCTGGGCTGGGGGTTGGGGCTTGGCACCCCGCAGGCTCCTTTTCTCCAGAATCTCCCAAAGCCCAGGGTGGTGCCAGGCTCAGAACAATAGGTACAAAGGGGCATCTCCGGTGCTCGGGTGGGTGGGCCGCCCTAGGGGGCAGATCAATCTGTGGTTTCCGTGGGAACCGGAACCGGCCTCGGGAAGGTTCCTGTCCTGTTTCCTTCTCGTCCTGTGACCACACGACTGAAGATGCAAGCTGGGAGCGGGGTGGGGGGTACGGCCATCAGAAAATGTTCACTTTTAGGTGCCAATAGTACGTTGCACTAAACTGATGGAAGAAGTTATCCAAAGTACTGTATCTCATCTTCTTATTTAATGTTTTCTAAAGTGGAAAATGTTTCGTGGTTTCCAAAATAAGCAAAGTGAAAAAAAAAAGGATGATTCATTGTAAATAAAAACACTTAATAATGCTGCTGACTGGTCTTGTAGTTGTTGGTGGGCGTCTCAGAAGCCGGCCTGGGTGCCTGTGCTGTGTGGGCGGGTGGGGACAGCCGGTACCCACGGCAAACGCTCTCCCTCTCACGGATGCCTGCTTGCCCGGCCCCCAGCAAATCACCGGACTCGAAAACCTTTGCTTCCTGCCCTGGGCAACAGCTGAGCTGTTGGGGCCCGTTGGAGGGGCACTGTTTTCTCTCAGGGTCTGTCCTGCTCGCTCCTGCGGCTCCATGCACGCCGCATGGTCCTTCCTGGCAGACAAGACACGGAAGCAGATGCCCGAGATATAACCCCGAGCGGCTGGGCAGGACAGAGAACGGCCCCTGCTGACCCTCAGGACCCTGCAGGATCACGGGGGCTCAGTAAAGCTTCAGTTAGCTCTGAGTGTTTCCTCTGGGTCATCTTGGATCTGAGAAAGGGCTTTTCTTTCTTTCTTTCTTTCTTTCTTTCTTTCTTTCTTTCTTTCTTTCTTTCTTTTTGTGAAACACCATGAGTACAGTTGTAGACTTACAAACTTTTGTGCTTGGGTTTCAGTTATATAATGCTTGAGTACCTATCCCTCCACCAGTGCCCATTCTCCACCACCAATGATCCTTGTAGCCCTCCCACCCCACACCCATCCCCCCTCCCACACACCCCGCCTCTGTGGCAGGGCATTCCCTTTTGCTCTCTCTTTCCTTTAGGATGTTGTAGTTTGCAATAGAGGTATCGAGTAGCCATCGTGTTCGGTCTACAGTCTACTTTCAGCACACATCTCGCATCCCAAGCGAGTCCTCCAAACATCGAAAGGGTCGCTTCTGAGTGGACGGAACCAGTCTGAGAAGCAGCAGAGCCTCGGAAACGCCAGGGTGTGTGTGTGCTGGGAAGCGGGGGTGGTGGTGGGGGGACGGTTTTGGGCCCTCCCCAGCCCCAGGTGCTCTTCAGCGTTAGGGCACTCGCCTGCTTGCCCTGTGCTGGCTCTGAGCCCACCCCAGAATAAATGGAAATAGACAACCCAGCAACGCCCAGAAGTCACTTATTCCAAAGAGATGTGCATCTTGGTACCTCCGACAGGTCCAAGAGAAGGAACCTTCAGAGACGCCAGAAGTGACGGCACCAGCATAGCTGCCGGGAGTCAGAGACGACCTCGGGGTCTCTCGCTGGGCCTCTCGAGATCCTCTGAGACCCGCTGGGACCAGCTTGGGCAGGGGCCTGGGAGAGGCCAGTGCGCTGAAATCTGTGTCTGTTTTGCGGAAGGGCTGCACCAGGGCTGCGGTGGGAAGGATGGCCCTCGAGAGCTGCAGCCGGGATCTGCTGCAGGTGGCTGGCATTGAAGTCTCGGCCCAGAAGTGAGCACAGCCGGGCAGGGACACTTTCTTCAGATCCAGAACCAAGAAAGCAAAGGCCAAGGGCTGCGCGTGGCTTCCTCCCGCTGCTCCTGCCCCAGGGGAGGACTCGCCGCCACGCGACCTGGGTTCAGAGATGCGGGGGCCCAGCGCATTTTGGGTGACCCCGGGCACTGTGGCCATGGGGCAGAGGAGTCTGGGTGACCCGAGCACTGTGACTGTGAGGTGGAGGACTCTGGACAACCCGAGCACAGGACAGGCAGCATGAGGATGTGTGCAGGACGCCTCTGCCTGGTGTGGGGTCACTTCAGGCCCTACTCAGGGGTCAGTTCCCGTGGGCTCGAGGGACACATGGGGTGCTGGGGATGGAACCTGGGCTGGCTGCCTGCAAGGCCAGCTCCCAGCCCATCTGTCCGAGTCTGTGTAGCTCTGCAGCTGCAGGAGGGTGGTTCTTAGTGGGCAGGAGCCGTGGCAGGAGGCATAGGAGCCTTCACAGGGGCCACGGCTTCTCCTATTGTGTGCGGGCCCAGCTGCGGGGGTCACAGAGATGAGCTTCCTGCGTCTGTGGCGAGCAGAGCCCCTGCAGGGCCGGAGCTGGGCTGGAGGCTCATCCCGTATCAGGAAGTGTGTGTGCACCCACCCCTAGGGCTTATGCAGAGGCAGCCGGGACCCTCCCCACGGTGTCCCCAGCCCACCCCACAGCTCTGGTCAGCCGAGGGCAGCCTGGGGTCTCTGCTGGGGCGCAATGGGCAGGGAGTCAGCTCCAGAACCTGGTCTCTCGTGCCCACTTTGCTTTCTTACCCCCCCCCCACCCCAGCCCTTGATAGATCCTGCCAGAGGGGCGGAAAGACCACAGCAGGGTGGGCTGCCCCCTCCCACTGTGCCTTCCCACCCCCGCGCCCCCCACCCCCCACCACACCATGGCCCCTTCCAAGGGCAGAGCTGCCGCCGGTGGCCCCGGGGACGAGGGCCACGCTTGCAGTGGAGATTATCGGGGTGATTTTTCTGCCCTTTGTCATCTCCAGCTGTTGCTCACTCCTGAGCACGGCGGTGTGGGGGGGATTCTGGGGTCTATGTGCCCCCCTCGTGCCTGAACATTTCTCTTCTCATGCTGCCTTCAGCCTGGAGGGCCCTCAAGGCTTAACTTGCTGCCCTCAACATGTGCTTCTGGGCTCCAAGGTCTGTGTACGGAGGACGCCGGGGGGACCCAGCAGCCCGGCGGGTCCCCACCCTCCACACAATGCGGTTCCCTGGCCCGCAGGAAATCCTCCCGTTGGAGGGGGCACCCGCCCTGGTGTGAGGTCACCCACTACTTTGTCCCTGCACGAGAGCTCCCTTGGTGGGGCCTCGCCACGTGCAACCTTTGCAAGGGGGGCAGAGCGTGACCTCACCCCCACCACAGGGCTGGAGGGCTGCTCCAAGGGACCTTTCCATCTCAGAGAAACTAAGTCATGACCTGCTTCCTGCCCACCCAGGAACTTGGCCGGGCCCTACGCCAGGTCACCTCAGTGAAGAGCAAGGGACACTAAAGCTGGGCAGCCTTCCTGGTGGAGGGCACCGCTGAGGACCGGATCGTCCCCCCTGGCCCTGGGCTCCATGATGTGGCCTCGGGCTGTCCTGAGGGGTGTCCCTAGGCCATGGCATGGCCTCCCACGCTGGGGGGCGTCTCCTTCCCTCGAAGCCATTTCTGGCCTATCCCCTTCGCTCCAGTTCTCCTTCCCACGCTCACCCACCTGCCTCCTGGATGGAGTGAGGGTTGCTGATTGCCTTCCTGGGGTCCCTGCCAGCCCCCCACGCAGGAGCCCTAGATGTTCTCTCGGTCTGCGGGGGCCGAGCCTTTGCCTGCTCTCTCTGCCTCTCTGTCATCTCGGGGTCTTTAGGCTGGTGCTGGGGGCACTGTGGCCAAGGACAGGGAATGAAGGGACCCGTGCAGTCGGGGTACCCCTGAGCCCTCAGACTTGGCTGTAGCAGACCCCTCAGTGTGTGTGTGGGGGGTGCAGAGTGTGGTCTTCAGTTCGTACTTCCTATGGGGGTCGTACTGAATCCACGTGCCCCAAACACCAGCCGGGTGCCCCCAGCCCGGCCCTGCCCTCCTCGCAGGCCCCG